GGAAATTCCAACCATGCTGGGTTTCTATGGCCAAAGTTAACTCCCAGATTGGTAAGACCAGAAGCCTGATTCTTCCAATAAATGGGGATTTCTGGGAAGAGCTGGAGGGGTGGAGGATGCCAGATAGCCTGGGACTCAGAAAGAAAGAGGTCCTGGCACATCAGACATTAAGAAAAAGCCAATGGTTAAGGGGGTATGAAGTGGCCAGACCCAGGAAAATGTTGCCGCTAAAGCCCAGGAAACATTTCCAACATGATGCTCTAAGACCTTGCATTTATTCATTCCACAAATATTTCTCAAGTCCCAACTATGCACCAGGTACTATACTAGGTACTCTGCATTCAACAGAGAACAAAATGTTATTGGTTCCTGACCTTCTGGGGCTTGCCTTTTAATTGTTGCTGCTAACAAAGACAAGAGAGCCTATAACCCAGACTTAACAGGCTGAGATCTCCGGATTCAGGACATGAGCTAGGTTGTGTCCAAGAAGAAAGACTGGGAGCAGCCCCTTGAGGCCTTGTTGGTCTCCCTGAGGTCAGTTGTGAGCCTCAATATAAAGAATGTCAAAACAGTCCAAAAGTTGACAGCTGAGGAGCTAAAACCCTCTTAAGAGTCTGAACTTTCGGTTGTACAGTCTGCAAATCGAGAAACTCTGTTCACAGTCATGGATTCTCTGTTCTATCATGTCTACTGTCCGCAAACAGCTGATCTTATCAGAGCAGTCACAAGGGTCTGACTTGCTCCACACAAGGTAGGACTGACACCAGAACCCAACATCCACGGGCTGGACTGTCCGCAGCGGTGGTTTAAAAGCTCAGGTCCACAAGTCAGACCACCCAGGTTCTAAATCAGCAGCTGTGGAACCTAACCAAAGTTCTCCAGGCCTCAATCTTCTCACTTCTAAAATCATAGTAGCAATTACAGTCCTTGCCCCAGAGGAGGACTGTGAGTACCAACCAAAAATAAGGCATGTCAAATGCTTAGCCCAAAGCCTGGCCATTTTAACTACCCAGTAGATAGTAGCTACGATTGCTTTTTCCCTCTAATTGGGTGTTGGGTTTTTTTTTAGATCTACCCCTGCTTTTCAGATGTGTGTAAAGGGGGAAAATTCACCGTCTAGTCTTTAGATGGCAAAATGGCTAGACAGGATCATAGCAGAAACTAAAGGAGGAATAAACATCACAGGAAGACTGGATTTTGAGGTCAAGAGGCAAGGCACAAGGCTGCATTGCTGAGTGATCCTGGGACATCACTTCTGCACACAACAGCTGGAAGTATCTTGGGTTACTGTCTGCTGGAGAGCATGTGAGTGTTTTTGTGGTTGTCTACCAGACAGTTAAATTCTATCAGGCAGTGGAATTATGGGAGTGTGGAAGGAGGTGTGTCTCCCCACAAGGGGTAGAATGAACTACAAGCATCCATCCTGTTAGCCAACAGTTATTAAAAACACACCACCCTCAGGGTCTACAGAGGGGGTGGACGCCGTGTTCAGACCACAAGCAACCCCAGGACCCAACTATGGCAGCCAAACCACTGCGGAACAACCAGACTTTGAAACTTGGGTCCACTTTTCTATGAGTGCATTGGTGTGCCAAGGATAGCAGGAGTTCAGAGGGGGAGGAAGTCAATGAACTTGTACATAATTTAAAGCATTTTTTTTTTTACATTAACCCAAGCACACAGATAGGTTATAGAACAGACGGGGGGAAAAATCATATGAAGTTTTAAAGCACTTCAAGGGGCACCCTCCAGCCTCACCCCCACATTGTAGGAGAGGTTGGTTGCTGCCTCTTTATTTAGGACTTTCAAGGGAAAGTTTAAAAAGCACTAGAATGGTGGAAAGAATACAAAAGTAGACATTTCAAGATTTGAGTTTAAGCTGGAAGGCTCAGGAGCTTATTATCTTGAGCAAGTTACTTATCTTGAGTTTCCTCATAGGAATGGGACTGTTCCTCATAGAATCAACTTTAGACTTGATCAGGGGCTCAGAAGAAATAATATACGGGGAAGTGCTGTACAAATACTTATTAGGATCATCAGAGGAAGGGTCTATGAAAATCAGCTGCCTTGGCATGGGTGCATGGGTGAAGGTAACCTGCTCTAGTTATGAAAGTGATTCAAAGTTGGTGGCAAGGCAGAAAAAGTAATGACCCAGCGTGTAAATGGCTGGGTACACACTCATTGCACAAGCACCTCGTAAATTAATCCTCAGCAGAAGCAACTGACATCTGAGAGCCAAGAAAGGAGAAAACACAACCCAGTCACTCCTGTCACTTTGCTAACCTGTGGTTGATTGAAGATGGACAAGTAGAGAGAGCCATCTAGTAGGAAAGGAGAAGGCAAGCAAATCCAACTGCTTGTGCCTCACTGCCTATGGATTACTGTTAAGATTCCTGTGTCTGCTCTGAAGGAATCGCTGTTGGAATCTATTGAGACTCCCTCTAGAGCGTTTCAGTCAGTCTCTTGTTTTAGGCACCTGTAATTCAGCATGCCTTTTCCAAAATGCATTCAAAACCTGAAAATAAAATGCAGAACAAATGCAATGAAATGACATCATTGTTCTGAGTGACAACCAGGGGCACTCTGATCCTGCGACCCCATTAAATGGGGCTGCAACCTGCCTTTGTCCTTTCTGTGGCAAAATCAGTAGCACCCAGCACAGAGCACTGCTTACACAAGCAGGCATCAAACAAATATGTTAAGTATCTTATCTACCTATTTAATAGGTTAGAAAAATTGTCAGCTTTTTCATCAACTACCACCTTTTTTTTTTTTTTCATTCAAACCCCTCTTGAAATTCACTTCAGTTAAGGCTTTTTAATGCGTACTAGCAGCAAGGAATTTACTTAAATGAAAGAAAAAAAAAGCAAAACTCCAAGCTCCCACCTGTGCAGCCATGACATGCTATTGTTTGAACCAGAGTATATTATTTAACTTGGATGACAAGCTCAGGAGGTAGGGACCCTGTCTTTCAGAATACACAGCTCTGAGCACGCTGGGAATTCTTGATAAATAACAGCAGCAAGAAAGGCTGTGGAGGGACCTCTTTTAATTATTTATTTTTCCAATGCCAGATTTTTGGCAGCATGTATTTATACCTGGCTTGATTTCCAAAGGACAGCTCTCTCCCAGAAGCTCCCGTGAAGATGGATAAACAGCTCTCCAGCCGCCCCTTCCCCCTCCTCATCCCAGAGCAAGTAGGAACACCTGATCGAGCCAAAGCGTGGATTCGGAGTGCACTCAGGATGCCTGCTGGGTTTGGAAGGGAACTAAGTCCTCCAGGACCCAAGGGGCACAGAGAGGCAGTCAAGGGAAACATTTTGGCTCCACACATCCACACAGCTGTCAGATGGCAGAGCTTGGACCTCCGCTGTTATTACCTGCTGTGGGCCTCTGAGCTGTCTTGTCATTAATCCCAGAGACCAAGTATGCCTAAAGCCCGGCACGAAGTAACATTTGGGGGTACATTCAAGTCTCTCAACAGAGGAGTAGAAGGCGATGGTTTCTGCCCAACTTGAACTCTTAGATGATAAAGATCCAATAAACACATATTAAATGTTATACGTGTATGGCAAGACAAAAACATTTAGGGAGCATTATTATTTATGCTTTAAAAAATTATACCAGTAACTAAACGAAGGCATTATGTGTGTGTCCCAGCACACAACTAACTGATAGGCAAGGAGGGAGAAGCAAATGACCATCTACGGAACCTTGCAAAAGACCTCGGTTTTTTTTCTCCCTGGATAACAGGGCGAATATTTGGTAGGATGTGCTTTGCAGAGAAAGGGGTGGGTGGGAGTGTCTTTCTGTACATATATTACCATACCTTAGAGCCAATGGTCCCCTGTATGCCTACACAACAATGTATCACTACAACACGTTTTACAAGTGGAGACTTCTCCCCTTCCTCTCTGACGCATTTTATACCAAAACAATGGCAACACCTGTAGCCATTAATTTCTGCTCTTTGGGTTCTGTCCAGTTATAAAGGAGGCTCTCAGCAGGCTCCCCTCTCAGGAGCCATATGTGGAGTCGATTTGCCAGCAGCCTTGGAAGGAAAACGGCCTCTGAGAAGCGCACAATGGCTCCATAATCCCCATCCACTGGACCCTCTTGAACCGCCGCTTTATTTTCCAGTCAAAGAACTGCCACTCTAAGAGTCAAGCTGTGGCTGCCCTGGGAACCCGGGGGAAACCTGTGCTCTTGCTGGTGGGGCACAACCCAAGGGTGGTGTCTCTGAGCCCCACAGCCGAGTGCGGCAATGTGGAGCCCAAAAACTGTGTGGCATCCCAACATCTTTTCTTGCTCTCCCCTCCAGGCTGAAGCTTTAATCCACAAAGCCACCTCAACCTCCCCTGCCTCTCCCCCGGAGACCACAGAGCACTCCCGGCGGAGCCACAGCCCCGCCCCCTCACACCGGGTCACGCTGATGGTTCTGTTCCACCAAGCGTGAGCCCCTCTGCTAGGCTCACATTGACCCAGGTTGAGCAGGCTAGCAACTCTTCTGACATCACGTGTGTCGGTTTGGGGGGGCGCCGCAAAGGCTGGGGTGTGGCAGCGCGCCCTTTAGGTTCACCCGCTTCTCTGCCCAGGGCGCCGTATTTGGTGACCGTGTAGAGAAGGGTCAAACCCCCACGCCTGCTAAGACCATACACCTGGGGAAGCGGTTAGGGAAGCGGGGGAGGCTGTCTGCGGAGGCTCAGCCCCACACAAGCGTCGTTTGGACAGAGAAGGATAGCACTGGGATGCAATCACTGGAGTTTTGAGCCAAACTCCTACCCTCTCCGCCTCCCTTTTTACACTCCCTTTGGGGACCTCTGGCTGTGCTTTAGGGTAGCCGGAGGTCTCGGAGACCGTAAAGCACGGCTCTTTGGCAGCCACCGGGCTGTGTGGATCCGGGACCTGGTAAATGGCAACCGGGTCTCCCTCCCGCTCGGCCTCGGCGGCGGCTCCCCAACACAAGCACTCCCCGCCGCGTCCCGGGGGGCAGGACTTACGCAGTTGTGCTCGGCCGTCTGGAAGTCCCAGGGGCAGCTCTTGGCGCGCTCCTGGATCTCACTCATCCTGAAGAGGCAGAGCGCCGTGGTGGCGGGGGAGCGCCTCTCCTGGCCCTCCCCGGTGGCCGCGCTGAACACGCCCGCCCAGACGCCCAGGGCCTCCACCAGGCTGGAGGAGAGGAGCAGGCGCCGGCCGTCGGGGTGGCCGTGGCCGCAGTCGAGGGCCGCCTGGCCCTGGAACTGCAGCACCTTGGCGCTCTGCGCGATGCGCACCATGCTGGGCCAGCCCGTGGCGGCGCCGCTCGTGTAGTTGTAGGGATAGTAGGGGAAGTAGACGCTGCCGTTCCAGAGAAAGGCGTCCACGAAGTGCAGGCTGCCCGCGCCCCCGCGCAGCTTGAGGCGGCCCAGCTCCTCCGTGGCTAGGCTGCGTCCCTCCGTGTCCTTGAGGGCGATGGCGGTGTCGCGGTCGGACGCCGCCGGGTTGCAGCGGCTCGCCGTTTCGGGCTCCGGCAGCACGTAGGTGGCGGCCACCGCCAGGTACCAGCGGTTCTGGTCCCCCGCGCGGTACACCACGCCGGCCGTCGAGCCCTGCGGGTGACACGACACTACCTCGGTGCCGTTGCGCAGGGAGCTGTGGCTCAGGTTGCCCAGGAGCCGCACCTCGCAGGCGCCCCGGTCGAAGGTCCAGCCGGTGAGCAGCAGCCCCTGGAGGTCGCCCGCCCCCTCGCTGTAGGGCAGCAGCAGCTTGCTGAAGCTGCTCCCCGGCCGGGGCCGCGCGGGGGGCGCCAGCGAGACGGGCTCCGTGCAGTTGCCGGCTTGGTCCCGGTACAGGCGCGAGAGCCTGTGCTCCAGGCTGTAGTCCAGCTGGTCCAGGCAGCTGCCGCTCGCCACGAACACGCCGTCCTCCCGGCTCGCCGCGATGGCTCCGATGGCTTGCTCCGACCGCCACACGGGCTCGTCCGCGCCCCGGCTTGGCGCCGCCAGCGCCAGTAGATAGGCGAGCAGGGGCAGCGGCGCGGCGGGGCGCGGGGGGCGCGGCGGTGCCTTCCTCCGGGAGACCTCCATGGGGCTGGGGGGGCCGCCCCCGGGTAGGGCGCGCGGCGGCGACGGCGGCTCAGGCGCGCGGCGACGGAGACGCGGGCGGCGGCGGCGGCGGCTCCTGCGCGCGCTCGGGCTCCCGCGGCCGCCCCATCCCCGCGGCTCGCCTGGGAAGGAGAGCAGGGAGGGCGGCACGCGGCGGGGTCGCTCCGGCAGCCTGTGCGGCGGCTGTGGCGGCGGCGGCAAGCACTGCGCGCTTCGGCGCCGCTTCCTCCTCGCCCTGCTTCTCCGGAGAGTTCCTCTGTGCAGCGCTGGCGCTCGCGGGGAGGCGCGGAGGGTAAGGGAGGGGACGCGCGGAGGGGAGCGATGCAGGCGGGGAGGGCTGGAGAGGTTGGGTGCGCTTGTGCGTTTCACTTTCCCATTGTGAAAGTGGGATGCAACTGGCCCCCTTCCTCATCCTCTTCCTCCTCCGCCCTCCGCCTCCTGCCCGCCCGCCTTTCCTCCCTCCACGCCCATCTCCCCTCCCCTCTTGATTCGGTGAGATAGGGAGGAGGAAGGTCTCGTAATTTGGGTTACTGTGTAGGTGGCCTCTTTCATCTATTCATAACAAAGCTGAGCCGCCTGCTGTTGCCGCCGCGGCCGCCACCATCGCCCCTTGGCTCTCCCCGAGCTCCCGGGGCGCGCTAGCAGTATGCCGAGCGGGCTCCCGCGCCCGTCCGCCCGCGGGGCCGCTCCAACGCTCGGGTTTTGTTTATGAGAGCAGCCGGGGGATGCGCCAGGCACGGGGGAGCGAGGACCCAGGGCGCCGAGGGTTTGCAGCTGAGGCCCAGGGCTCAGGCCACAGCGAGGCTGCAGGGCGGCTGACAGGTGTGGAGCGGCGGGAGGGAGGCCCTGGGGAGGCGCGCGGGAGACGTGGCCGAGCCGGAGGCTCAGGAGACCGAGGCGCCCCTGCCACAGGGCCTGGGTTTCCCCGGGTCAGAGGAGTGAGGTGGGGGAAAGACAGGCGCCAAGACTCCGGTTCTGGACAATCCCCGGGGCCAGAGCTCCCATATTTGAAAAGGTTCTCTAATCTCCCTTGGCAACGGAGTCCCAGGCTCCCAGACCTGGAGCTTAGAAAGTTCTACTCACCATCTACCCTTATGATCCTGGCTAACATTTATTGAGCACTTACTATGTGCCGGGTACTGTTCCAAATTTGCCCCATGGATTAAGATTCATTTATTAACCTAATAACCCTTTTAATTAGTGACTTATTATCATCATCCCCATTTAGTAGTGAGAATGATTACGGTGAGGTTATGGAACTCACCGGGATCCTACTGCTGGTTAACAGTAGAGGTGAGATTCGAATCCATATCTAGCTGCCGGGCCGCTTACACATCCCGCTCTAGCCAGGTGCCACCTGTGGCCGATCGGATAAGGCTGCGAGATGATTTTCAGCAGGTGGGACTGCAAAGTTCCCCAAGTTAAATGCTCCAACCTGCCCTCCCCAGCCCAGCCTTCTAATTTTAGAGCCAGGTACCCTTCATTCCCTCCAGTCTCTCCCTCTGTCTCATCCTTTCCTACTTCTTTTCTTTGGACCCTCTGAGGTCTCACCAACTCACCCAGGGATGCCCCCAAAGCCACCAAGAATTTCTGGAGCACAATGAATTTCCGAATCACTGCACACCTGGGTGTAGGTTCATGATTTCTCAGAGGATGCACAAATGCCTCCCAGCTTCCTGAGGCAGCTGATGGCACCACCAGCACACTTCGAGTCTGGCAGGTGACTCAGGGGTGTACCAGGGGGGCTCTTGAGGACCCGGATGCATCCTTGCAAAAAGATCTCTGTCCCTTCCCTGGCTACTTTCAGGCCACAGGGGGCCCAGGGAGAGTAGCTGGTTGCATTGCGTTTATTCCTTCCCCTCCTGGCTCCCCAAGTCTAGATGGACTCTATTTGGGGGGGGGATGGGGCTAGTAGGCTTCCTCCGGATGCTGAACCCTCTTGAAGGAGCAGCTGCTGTAGGTTTCCAGCTTCTGCGATTGCCCTTCAGGTTCTCCCCGGTGCTGGCGGATGAGGCAGGAGAAGGAGCTCGGGGAGGCTGGAGGAACAGAGGGTGTGGTGAGGCAGGAAGCAGAAGAGAAGCAAAACTTTCTGCCCTTGCTGTGCAGTTAAAGGATCCTCTCATCCCAGCGGTGGCTCTCATATTCTGAATTCAGAGTGGTCGTTGTCCCATTCAGAATTTCCTTGTCTAAAATTGGATGACATTATCTCTGCCTGCCAGTGGGCTGGAAATACTTTCCCATGAGCTGTGCTGCGGTGGTGGCAGCCAGGGCGCTGGGGAGAGTGGAGGAGTGAGGGAAAAGGCCTGAGACCCCAGGCTGACTGACGTTAGTCAGGAGCACATCAGATGCTCTCTCTGCTCCAAGATAATCAGGCCTCACTCCCCCCTTCCCTGCCCACCTGAAATGTTTTAAGAACTTCCGCCCTGCTGGAAATGGGAAAAGTAGTACCTACGAAACATCTGCAGAAACTCACCGAAGCCCTCACAGCATAGGAGGGGATTTCCGTTGTGGACATGTTGGCAATTTTCCCTGTGAATGATGAGGAACACAAGGATCTTCGCCGCTGCCGTGAACCTGCCGTGGCAGGGCTGTTATGTGCTGAGAAGCAACAGTTCAATTCCATTCTGGAGATAGTTTTACTTCACTGGTAACACGTAATTTCTCTAAGTCCTGCAGCGCTGCAACAATGAGTAGCAGACCATCTTGGGAGCTATTTGGATTAAACATACTCTATGGTGCAGCACTTTGATCACTACTCAATTCATTGCCGCCTCATTCTGAGAAAGAAACATCTTAAAAATACCCCCAGCAAGAAGTATAAATGGCTCTGATGGCTCTGATGGCTACAGTTTCTCACCATTCTAGAATCTGGGACCACAAGCCCCACTCCTGAAAGCACGCTTCTTTTTCTTCCCATGTAATTGTCTGCAGGCGCCTATGGTGAAGGAAATCAGAAGCTGTGCCTGCTTTTTGGCACGATAAATGCGGGAGACTAGGAAGCATATAAATGTATTCTTTGCTGAGTCTACCCCATTTTGTACAAACATGTTTGCCCCTTTCCAATTTTCCTGTGTACTAAAGCTCCACCTTCAGGACACAAGTTCACATTTGAAAAGTGTGGGAAATATGAACAACAGAAATCAATATTTGGGCATGTGGATTCTCTCTGTCTCGGCTCGCTTTCTCCTGGACGCTGGTGTCTAGCCAGGGGTGTGAGTCCCACTGGTGACACAGCTTCCTTCTCCCACTGATGGAGCCCGTTCTGGTGGGTGTCACTCACTGCACATTCGGAACTCCTTATCACACAACTGGCTGAAACCCAAAGAAAAAGAAGATGGTGCAGATTTATCCTCCAGACAGAGGCCTGCTACCACGGAAACAGGCAGTTCAGACTGATTCCGAGCAGTTTTATTTGTAGCATTCGCTAGATGGGAAAATCTTCATAATGAGAAAATATCAACTCCCTCAGGCATCTAAGGCAATCTGGGTTAACCAGACCATCCACAATCAGACTCGTTTCTGCCGGACAAGACTTTATAGATTCAGTGGTTTCCTGCTGAGGCTCAGGACATTAAGAACTGTTCAGTAAGCAATTGGTCACAGTCACAAGATAGCTATCATTGGTGTTTTCAGTTTTCTTTCTGACTTAAAAAAAAAAATCTGACAGTGATCTGTAGGATGACTGGGCTGGTAGAGATCGAAAGCAACGAAGATATTAGTTCTGGTGGCCAACGAATTCTCTGCCTTTTTCTAAGGAGTTACAACCCCTTAGGCAGCATTTGGGAAATGCCAGTGGGTCGAATAGTACCAGCGCTGTCCTCCTAAGACTTAAGACAGGCTACTTCCTTCTTCACAGCTTGGCTCAAGTCTATGTGGTCTTCCACATCCAGGCCCTTATCAAAGCTCCCAACCCCTTTTGCTGAATGACAGGAAAAAGAAACGAGCCAGCCTCCTTTCTAGTCTGCTGATGAGTGGATGGTTGAAAGCAGATAAGATGAAGAGCCATTTAATAAGTTTGAATTGATGCTGAGAGACGAGTTGAATGCAATTCAATCAACATGAAAAGTCAGTAAAACGCAGCACAGTTAAGATGTGGCCGAAGGAACACAATGCTTCGTCTTCTTGCCCGCCCAACATGGCCCCAGACAGCTGTTGAGCATTTTTATGCTTGGTGATACTGCCCCATGCCTTTGGTTAAAGTGATGAAGGCCCAGTGGTGTTCCTTCGGTAGGGAGGCATCACTGTTGTCCTCTTTCCTGTGTCATGGCTTAATAGCTCATGGTCATTCACCAGCAGCGTTACAATTGTGGATGGGAGAATGAGTTGGAGGTACAAATAAACAATCTTTGACTCAAGGTCCAAAGACTTCCTTTACACTAAATAAGAGCCTTCAGTCAGCTTTAGGGACCAATGAGTTATTTCCTATAGTGGGGATGTCAACTGTGGGTTGTTTTTAAGAGATTGGTGTCTAGGACTTCATCCTGGCCCCTAGTACCTCCCTTCTCAGGTAGTACACTCCAGCGTCACGAAGTTTTTCTTGAGCCCTTTCTCCAAAACATTCACCCAAAACCATCAGTGGTTAAGAGTCTGAGACCCTTGCTGGTTGAGAGCAAAATAGGGTAAATCATCACAGTGTTTTCCCAGACCAGCTGGAGTTCACCCTGCATGAAGTACACAAAATCATTGGTTAATTATTTCTTCCAATTTGGGGGGATCTCTGCAATTTGCTGAGCAGTCTCTTGGTCACCAGCTTTTGTCTGATTTTCACAAGATTCAAGTCTGCCCCTGCTCATACTTTCCTTGCTGTTCTTTTGAAATATGGAGCCAAAAGGGTATCAAGGACTAGACACAAAATGCTGATCCCCCTTTAATACGGTGTGTTTTCCTGCAACTCTGTTCTGCCGTCACAGCTCCGAGGCTCCCTGCCAGTATAATCCTAGGCCCCGAATCCTTTGATAACTGGCAGCTTGGCATAAACCCATTCAAAGAAAAGAGCTGCC